AATAATCAAAGTTGCCAGCTCAAGGTTTCGGTCAAAGACCCTTGAAAAATTGAAATACAGAAGTTCATTTTATTAATCATTTTACCATAAAGAAATTTGTGATAACACAATACTTTAACAAGACTATTTTGTAGATAACACAATACTTTAACAAGACTATTTTGTAATTAGGACACTTTAAAACCTCATTATTTTGTAATTAGGACACTTTAAAACCTCATCATTGATCATGTGATCTATAACCACAGGTTTTGTATAAGCTGATGATAAAACGACTAGTGCAGACATCGCTCATAACCTCCTTGAGACACCTCAACTTATCTTGAGCCACTGCAAGCAAACCATTACAACGAAGCGAAGCCTTGAAGATATTGAATACTCGCTTGATCGGATTGAATTCCGGTGAGCAGGGTGAAGTGTAAATTAATAAGACTCCTGCATCTTCACACAATCCTTTGATTGATCCGCGGTGATGGATAGTTGCATTGTCCATCACGAGAACCAAATTTTGATTCAGGTATGGTTGCATGACAGGTAACTTGGATGATAATTACATTGTCAGCTTGGTTTTTGAAGAAGAAGCAAAAGAATAAACAAACTTACCAAAACATGTTTTAAAAACGCTTCGAATTTGTTTTGACGATAAGCATTGAGCTTGGCATTGACCACCAAGAGTCCCATCTCACAGATCGCAGCTAGAACACTGTAGTGAATCCCGTGTCTCGACCTTTTCAGAGCTTGTGGATGTTTGCCTTTCTTGGACCGAACATGATTGCGTTGAACATCTGGTTGGCATTGACCGCCAAGAGTCCCATCTCACAGATCGCAGCTAGAACACTGTAGTGAATCCCGTGTCTCGACCGTTTCAGAGCTTGTGGACGTTCGCCTTTCTTGGACCGAACATGATTGCGTTGAACATCTGGTAGTTTTAAACCAGTTTCATCTTAGCAAATGTTAAGAAGAAACAATACAAATCAGTAAGAGTTCTTCCAGAAGAAAGAAGAGAATGAAACACTAACCTAAGAATACCAAATACCCGGATGGAATATCAGCAATAGCGGCGGAGAATCTCGCTTGTAAAACAGGTGACTGGTTCGGATCGACTTTGGAAACCTTGTGAACGGTAAGGAAGAGGCGCTCCTTCAAGTCGCTGGCAATGGTTTGTTGACACCCCAGTAGATCGGTGTGATCATACATGGCTTCTCCCCTTTAGTCAAGGAACAAACAAGGACGCTCCCGAGAGTTCAACCATGAACTCTAGATCT